AGATGTATAGTAGAGCTGACAAAGGGCAAGGTTGTAGTCATTTCTTGGTCACAGTCACCTAACCAGAGGGACTGAGTAGTTGAACCTGTGAGGTCAGGACCATATCATAAGGAACATCAATTCAATTGGCATAACATACAACACAAAACATTGTTCCACCTCCTACTTTGGCGAGTAGCGACTGCAATCGTAAAAGCTTGACAGCTGCCATCTAGATGCAATGATGGCTCTCTCCTTGTCCAGAGCAAAGAAGAATGAAGAAAACCAAAAATTCATGGAAACAATTAGTCCTAGTGACTGGTACACCATCTGATCTGCAGCCTATACGACTATGAGACCAGAAAAACTAGATGATGCCCAGCTACCACTGTCAACCACTTGGAATGGGATCTATGTAGGATATCCTGGATAGAGAGGGAGAACAATGTGGAACAAAACTCAAAATCATTTGGAGAAAAATATAAAAAGGAGGGGGCAGGTTTTCTGATCTGATAGAGCCAGGTGGAACCACTGAGACTATTGCCCCTATCTGCCCTTCAGGTCTGGAATTGAACCCACACCTGTGGCTTCCAGCCAAACAAAAGACAGGCATATGAGTTGAACATTTACCTGAGGTAGATACACTTCTTGGACAAAATAATCATGGGAGAAAGAAGGGCTGCTTTTGCACGGGAAGACAGCTCAGAGTGCAGGAGTGCATGGAGGGATGGACACAGGAAAGAGGTAACTATCAGGAGGAAGTGGAAGGGGAGCTGTTGCATTGTGGTAAATTTTGGTCAATGTAATGAGACAAAGTGTATGTGAACTGCTGTATGGAAACTGAATTTGATGTAAATTTTCACCCAAATCACAATAAAAAGAAAAAAAAACCTGCCTTTCTATACTATAGACAAAGATATCCAATGACTTAGGAAAAGTGGGATGTTAGAGTGGATTTATCATATCAGACTCACCCAACCACCCTGGCAGTGCCCAGAGGACACATCTTTCCAAAAAGTATGAGGAATAAATTTGTGATGAGAAGTCTAGCATCTTTGAAGAGAGCTGTGATTTTTCTATTCTGTAGATCATTTATTATGTGGAAGGTGCTGCCACTAAATTGCAAAACCTAAATGCAATGGGAGTAATTGAATCTCTAGGTTCAGGGGTCAAACAACAACAATCAATTGCCAAATACATGGTGGGTATGGTCACCATAATGGACAGTAGAGGCAAAAGAATAATCAGAACCATCTGATTCTCAGAGTCCTATAGTATTGACACATTGATCATAGTGTCCATAGGAGTGGAATAGCTAGGATATCTACTAAATTCTTACTTGATTTTTATAAGAAGTATTCTAGATCACATGAACAGAATTCTAATTTTAAGTGCCAACATATAATGATGGCCCCTTGAGTGAGCCTCTAATTTGAGGCAGCTTCTAGATCTACAAGCCCTTGAATGAAGGGATGGCTGAGTCTCCTTGAATAAGAAGCCCACTACTCTGTCAAAAATTAATCCTTCAACATTCACTAGAGGGATCTTTGAACTTTTACTGGAGTAATCTTTTACCAGATATTATGTTTGGAGAAAAGGAAGAAATTGACCTCTTAAACACATTTTTGTTTCTGACCTAACACTAATCCCAGGAGACTCAAAACATCACTGTGGTCCATCAGTCAGAATAGGGGCATATCAAGATCAAGTGATCAATAGTGTTTTAGCTTAGATCCATCCCAAAGTGGGATTAGTGTATCCTTGAACCCATCCTGCAGTGATTTCCTCAGTTCCAGAATGTATAATTAAAATAGACATAATCAACAACTGATGAACATGATTTGAAAACTGTTGACAAGAGGACTGGGGAAAGAGGATAGTGTATACACTTCCCTGAATGGGCAAAAAACATGAAACCATTTGTGTCCCATTTGAATGCTCACCAAAGAGTGAACTTACCAAGGGAAAATTTCAATAATCAGTTGAATAGCATGATGCGTTCTCTGATAGCAATCAGCCTCTTTCCCCTTCCTCTTTTGTCATTGTCCAATGATCTCTTGGACAAAGTGGCCATGGTGACACATATGGAACTTACACATGGGGTCAGCAACATGGACTTCCACTCACTAATGCTGATTTGTATACAACCACCACTGAGTGCCCAGTCTTCCAGCATCACAGACCAATACTGAGTCCCAATATGGTACTATACCCTGGGATGATCTTGAAGCCACCTGCTTCCACCATGAAAGGGACAATGCTTCTTCTTTTTAGTTTTTTTTTTTTTTCTTATTGGAATAAACATTTATTCTGGATAAGGATTTACTTTTTTGCTCAAAATATTTATGCTAAAACTATCATCTGTGGACTTATAGAATGCCTTAACCATCATCATAATATTCCACACACCATTACCTTCAATCGTGGAGTCGACTTCACAGAAAATGAAGTGCGGCAATGGGCCCGTGCTCATGCAGTTCACTCATTTTACCTTGTTCTCCATCGTTCTGTAGCAACTGGATTGAAAGTATGGTGAATTGGCTTTCTGCAGATTCAGTTATGGTGATTACTTAGTGGTGATACCTTGCAGGGCTGGCATGATTTTCTCCAGGATTCTGTTTATGCTTCTAACTAGTGCCCAATATATGGTGCTTTTTCTCCCATAGCCAGGATTCGCACGTTCAGAAATCAAGAGGTGTCACCACTACCTATTTTCCCCTGGTGATCTACTAGCAAAATTTTGCTTTCTATCCCTGTGACCCTGTTTTCTGCTGGTTTATAGGTCTTTGTTCCAAAGGCAGGGATATTTCCACCAAGAGACATAACAATGATTCAATTGAACAGAATGTTAATGTTGACACCTGGCCAGTGTGGGCTTCTCATGCCTCTGAATCAATAGGCAAAGAAGGAAATTACTTTATTGGCTTTTGTTATTGGTTCTGATTAGCAAGGGAAATTGGACTGTTACACAATGAAGGTAAAGAAGAGTATGTACTGAATACAAGAGAATTCTGAGAGTATTTCTTAGTATTGCCATGCCTTGTGATTAAAGTCAATGGAAAACTGTTAACAACCCAATTCAAACAAGACTATTAATGGCCTAGAACCTTCTTTAGGATGTCTCTTAGTAGTACCATGCCTGA